CTAATGGCATTTTATTACTATTTGTTGATACATCAAAGCTGGGGGTATGTAGCTTTAAAAATAATCCTGAATGCCTTTCTTCAACCCCAGTAATCTTGCCTGCTTTATACCAATTTCACAGGAAGATGCAGATTCTTTCAAACAGATGCAGGTCTACAAAGTCTGGGAGAACTGCATCTGCTTGTATTTAAATTAGCTGAGAGAATGATACTTCATAAATTAAAAGTTGGATGAAGCTTCCGCTCTTTCTGGTTTTTTTTTTTTTTTTAATGTTATTCTGACTTCACTTAAATGCAAGTTAGATGTGCAGTTTGTCCCATTTTATACTGAGGTGAGCAAGGTCTCCCTAAAAATCACAGAAGCCAGTGGTGTAGGTGAAAACATGTGTGAGCTTTTCCTGCTCTGCTCCCCTCTGATTCCTCAGGCCTATTTCTGCACAGACCTAATCATGAGTTGGCCCCAGGAGCAGCCGCTTAGTTCAGCTTGCATTTTATAGGAACTCAGAACAGTTCCTGGGTTTGGAAAACTTCCACTCCAACTACTTGGCCCCATACTTGTCTCAGGTTTCTATATCGAGGAGCGTAGCTAGTTCCACTTCAAAGCCTCTGATTATTTTTATCTTTTTAATACTGAGCCATAGATAGTGCTGAGAACTGACAGCTCTCAAAATGCGCCTTTAGGTACCTGTCAAACAAATGTGTGGCTTGAAGAGGATACGCGCACATTCAGTTAACTCTTTTCCAAGGCAAATCTCTTGAATTTAGAAAGCAGGAAAAGATGGTGGAAAGCAAACCCACAGCAGAAGGAGAATGTAAAAGAAAGGAGGCCAACTTCTGTCATGTTCAGTACTCTGATTTGAGCAGGTATTTCCTTTGTGTGCTTAAGCCCAGCATCTACCCTCTTACTCTTTATCCTTCTCCTACTAGTAAGATGAAAACAGCTCACATTGCCTTACCTCAGGGGAAGCAAGGGCAAATTCAACTAGGGAAGGCACATTTGGGGCCATATGAATACCCTGGGAGAGGAAAATCTGGCAAAGGTTATCACATCCCTCTAGACTGCCTTCTTCTAAAGCATACTTGCTTTGAGCTAACTGGAATAGGACACAAGAAACATGATCTAGGTAGACACCCCAGTGCAAAACACTGGAATGGGAGCAGTGCACTCTTTGCTCAGATGAGCAGGAGCTGTTGAGAAGGAAGAGGAGACTGCAAGGGACAGGCATGACAAAGCAATGAGCGTAGTTACTCCTTTGCTTCTTGAGAATATTCAGATGAAAATCTAATTTGGAGTTGCTTAGAGGAGCCTGTGAATTACACAAGGGTTTACTCAATCTAGGGCAGGGTTCTGGAAAAGGACCCCCACAAACCTGAGAGCGTGCAGTGTAATAACAGTATCTGGAGCTGATGAGGACATCACACAGAAGGATTTTAATGGATTCTGGTGCCACGTGCACTTACACTCACTCAGGGCTTCTCCTTTGCTGGGCCAAAACTGTGGCAATTTGGGGTGGGGAACGCCTGTTTTTTCCCCTGCCAGGAGGCAGACTCAGGGCCTTCAGCCTCACTCAACAACAGGGAGTCCACAGCAGAGTGCTTTAAAATGGCTGGTGCTTCTCCACACAGACCTACTGCCCTCCCGTGGCTGCCACGGAGCTCGTCCCATGGCAAAGAGGGAGACCGGGTACTAAAGGAAAGAGAAAAACTGCGTCTTTCAAACCAACCAACCAACCAACCAACCAACCAAACAAACAGTTTAAGTTAGATGGAAGTCAAAAAGCTGCAGTTAACTGGCAGTATCTAGAAGGGCAAGAACAAAGCAGAGAAATGCACTGGTGTGGGGCTGGCAAGGCAGACCTCCAGGGCTTTGTTTTACATGGGCAGATGCTCTTGAGCCCCCCCCGTCTGCCCCCAGGTCCTGTCAGGGAAAGCAAGTACCTAGGAAGATGATCCCTCCGAGTGCATCTGAGGGTCCCATGGAGGAGGTGGCGTGAGCTACCGGGGCAAGGAGGCAGTGGGAAAGCAAATCCCTGCTCCTTTTCGGACTGACAGGAATGTGCTATAGTGTTGCTGTATCCACTTCTCCCTTGGCCCAGTTTCAACAGCTGGCACTTATAAAACTGCTGGTGAAATGCAGCACGTCGCAAACGTCTTCTTTTTGCTCTGTGAACTTGAGGGCAACTCCTGTCCAGACTGCCTCCTTGCCAAGGTGTTTCCTCCGAGAGCCTGAAGTTAGGTATCACAATCCCAGAAATAATTTCTTGCACTTTCTTTACAGTTTTGCTGTTTCTTTTGTCCTATCTGTGGGGAGGATGCACAGTACCTGACAACTGTACATTTTTGGGGCATGTGTATTAGTATTCAGAGCTTCTCCAGGGTTAAAGAGAGTCCAGATGCTCACTCCAATTGCAGGTCACTGGGAGAGTTCTTCACATAGCAAGATGGAAGTTTTCACCCTTTTCTCTCTCTCATGCTCCTTTTAAGGCAAAAGGCAGGTAAGTCCCATCTTTTCCATTTCTACATTTTGAGCAACACTGGTGCAGGAAATTCAGATCATAGACAAAACTTCATGCACAAGTGCATGAGATATATGAAATAAGAATGAGGTAAGAAATCACTCAGTAACATTTCAAAACTCATGTTTGTGTGTGTGTATATGTATATATACATACACACACACACACACACATACACATCTGTAGTAAATACATAGGAACTTTTACACAATTAAAATCACCCCAGTATATACACAATATTCTTCTATCATCTACCAAGACAATACATTGTTGCACTGACAGAATCCATTGCTCAGTTATCTTTTAAATTACATTTTTAAAAAGTTACACAGAATTGCTCAGTGAGAGGCCAATCTTCGGCAAGCCTGAATCTGCCAAAATCCACCAGGCTCCAGCAGTAATCCTTCCAGATTTGAAGGACACCCCCCACACTTTCCTTCACAGATCTACTCCACTTTCAAGAAATAAATTGTTTCTAATAATATGCTATAACCCTGCATCAAGCAGGATTTTTTTTCTAGTACTGAAGTATTTCATATCCTCTTGATACCATGCAATCCAAGAAAATATATCATGACTGCAAATGACTGTATTTTGATTTGGCCCCAGAACTTTTTTGTTAAAAAAATGAAAACTACCCTCACAAACTTTTAAAAACAATGGACACTTCTACTGATTTACATTTCTCCCAAAAATATCTTTTAGTAATAATTAACTCTATTAGTAATTATCAGCTGTAGCTTTTAGATCCAAAATTGCAAGTGTGAAAAACAAGGACAGAAAACTAAACAAAGCACAGAAAATACATACTTGTTGAGACACACAAAGCTCATATAAACTCTTACATATTTCTTTTAAAAATTGTTTAAATCACCTACATGATGTCCTTCTAAATATCAAAGTAGATTAGCTTTAACAAGACTTTAAAGAAAAAGCACTATCTGAAAAATATGTAATTCAAAGCCTTATCTAAAAAGTACTTCAGACATGAAGTTCTGCATCTCTCGATGATATTGCATTGCTCACAAAAGCCTTGTTTTATGTTATATTTTGAAATACTGACATCGATCAGCTGTCAAAGAAAATAGAGTTTATTTGAGTAATACACACTCAAGTACAAGGGAAAAAAAAAATCACAGAAGCTGCCTATTTCCAAGGAACTGACTCTGGAAGTAGAAAGAATTTGCTTTTAAAATGTGGAGAAAAGCTTGGAGTGATTAAATAAATCTAACAGCAAGACTGAGTCAGACCTGCATCTTTTTTTGAGAACAAGCGCTGTGAATTTTTTTTTTTTTTTTGTAAATGAACTCACTTGAGTTTATGTAAATATTCCCAGCAGTAATGATGGCTTATTTAGAGTAAGGTAACAGCAGATTAAAATTTGCACCTCCATATTTTGCTACAAACGATGACAGGGGATTTTCAAATGAGTCCCTTCTACATTAAATAGCTGTTTTAAAATTTGTAATAAAAATTATTTAAACATCAAAAGTAGTCAGTATCAAAAGCCAGGTATGCCAAACCTCAACCAGTATTAGAGGATCTCTGCATAGAGGGAAAGTCATTCATCTTCAGAGCAATTACAGTCCACACAGAAGTGAGACCACACAAGAAGCCACAGGTCAAAAGTTTTACTGTAGTTGTGCAATAATTCCACCCTATGGCAATTTGAGGATTGTAGTATGGACCCAGAGAAAGGTTTCCTAAAAAGTAAAATGGGACAAAGGGGGGAAAAAAAATGGAGAAAAAAAATATTTGCTTTCCCACAGTGAGGCTGGGAGCTGCTGCCTGTGGCCACAGGCTGCAGCAGTGCCTGCAAGCACAAGCCTGGCGTTTGCTCCTGCCATTGCTGATGTCCTGTCCACATCCGGTCCTGCTCACCATGGCTCAGAATAACTAGGCACTGGGGGCAATTTCTACAGAAGCTCTGCACGTAAACGCCAGCTTACGAAGGTGGCCCAACACTCCCACCTAATGCTCGCAGCCAGGTGTCATCCTGTGCATGTTGACTGCCATGTGTTTGTTTAATTCTCTGGTAGGACTTGCCTTTGCTACATGTTCATACAACACTTCAATACACCAAAGTTTTAACAATTACAGAGCACAATTAAACTTCACTGCAGTTCTAGGACTAAAACACCTGAAGCTCCTGGAAGCACAGATCAGACCCTTCATCTCTCCCCCAGCCCATGCTACATGCAGGTTTCTGCTCTCAAAATTGCCCATGTATGCATCAAATACATTTAAGTAATGCTCTGATATCAGCAATGAGTCAGGCTTTTCACAGGAGTCCAAAAAACAAAAAGCAGAGGGCTTCTGTGAAAATTCTCAGCCTAAGATGTAACTACCAGATTTTTAGTATACACCATGTCACAGAGTTAGTGTTTTCTTTAAAAATAGATGGCACTAAGTATAAAACTCAATGACTTATTCCAAACAGCATACCATACTTCACAGCAAAGTTTTTAAATAAAAATAGCCACTCCTCTAACTTCCACTTCTTCTGCTTCTAAATATACAGCTGGTGGGAAGCCAGGGTGTCCATGAATGGTCGCACGAGGTTGTCTGTTGAGAAGTAAAAGACCAGGCCGAAGGTGATGGAGATGGGAAGAGCAGGCAAGGCTTTCTTAAAAACAGCCAGCAATAAAAGTGTTAAACATAAACCCTGCCAGAAAGAAGGGAATAAAAAACACAAAAAGACAAACATATCAGTATATCTGTCGTAAATAACTCTATATCCAAATCATCTCCATACTGTATAGAAATTGAAGCCTGCCTGAACTACCAGGGGGATGAGGTGCCTTTTCCCAGTATCTTCACATTTCACCCAAGCTGGTCAGGTATTTTCCTCAACAGTCTTGAGGAGCTTAGTTCTCTGCTGAGAGAGCAGTGTAAACAGCTAGTGCTAACACACAACTGAACCTAGGAGGTGATTTACAGACTACTTTAGCTCTGCTTCTACATCATTATGTTTGAATTACTGATCTAGCAGATAAAGCCATTTAAATTCTGGTAAGCTGCAAAGCTGCTGCTTGGCCCTGCTTTTGAGGAATTCTCCCTCCCTGCCCACAACATTTGGCTTCTCCTAGCAGTTGTTTAAAGGTGGTTTCTGTAGATAGGGCACTGGGCTAGGAAACACTGGCAATTTCTTCTGAATACCCAGCACATTACCCATAGTGATTTCACAGTGCTCAGCTGCTGGTTCTTCTGCAACAGTAAACAGAGTGTAACACAGCATTTCTGGATTGCTCACTTACTATGAGGATGGCTACAAAGCAGGCCAGGGTCGTGTTCCAGTCTCCACTAGCTGTGGCAGCTGCTTTCCCAACAAGCACACTGTAAAATATGAAGTCTCCAAGGCCCAGCTTCACACCCTCTGAGAGAAAGTAAAGCAAGCTGGGGTTACTCTCCTCCTCCTGTTTTGCTTCTTCCTCGACTCGCTCTTGTCCTCTGGGGATCAGGTGAAGTCTCCTAGTGCTGCTGACCAACCTGGATCCTTAGCATCCCACAGTGAGCACAGGGCAGCAGGATACTGTAGGGACTAGGACTTAAAGCCTCAACATTTGCACTTTAAAAAGCAAACGAAACCCCACACCCTCTGTCTTTGAAGGGCTTTCTTGTGTTGCCCCACAGCTGCAATAGCTGAGGAAGTGGGTAGAAGGAAAGAGGAGAGGGAAGATGGAACTGCTCAAACTGTCCTGGTAGACAAGAGGTATCAGTGAAACCAAAGCCCAGAAGTGCAACAGCCAGAAGTCATTTATAGTCAGAGTCAAGACAGTGGTTGTTCAAAATGTCGCAGTTCTTCAAATTTATGGCAAATAGGTCCAAGAAGGGAGTAAAGTGTAAATAACTGTGGGCAAAAATATCAGGCTCTGACCCTGATGACACTGAAAACATATATATTCCCCTTACTTTCCTCTTCCTCCAGCTCCTCTACAGAAGTGACAGGGTGGATTGCACCAGGACTCCTTGTCTCCAAAATTTCAGAGTTTGAGTGCGAAGGGCTTCTGTGGTTCACTCTCCCATCCTCAGCTTGGTTCCACCCAAATAAACCAAGAAGAACGGACAAAAAAGAAACACAAGAGGTGGCTAAATTGTTTTAATGCATGAAATCCACACCTTCACAGAGTTCCTCTGGAATGGCTAGGCCCTTTTGTCTCTCTGAGGCATGCTTATCCAGCAGATATAGGGGATATAGTTTGGGGGAAAATGTGTATTTTACATTATTTTAAATATAAATTATTTTAAATAGCAGCTCCCAAGCTGCCAAAAAGCAACCATCAAAATTAAAGGCCCCACATTCATTGCAGATTCTTAAAAACACACATTACCTCCATGGCACATTGTTTTGTTTAGAAAAGTGATGTGCAGACAAACCTGTATCCCACGTCTGCTGACTTGGCCCTCTTGCTGCTGTGTCTCGCTTTGCCATTCCAACTGTCCACATCATAGCAGCTAAAAGAAAGCAGTTAACTGTTTAAAAGATGGGTCACATCTCATTCTGCATTTCACAAAAACACAAAAACTCACTAGCTATCCGTACAAATACAAACCTGTGTTTCTGTAAATGATTTTAAAACACTTGCTCTTTGTTGGGTTCCCTGGTCACTTAGAAGACAGAGAGAGAAGGTGAGAGGGAATTAGGGCAGTGCACCCATTCACTGTTTGAGACAGTCTCAGAGCACAGACAATTAGAGTTTATAGTCTACTCTGTAGACTGAAGAAAGCAAAAAATAAAGAAATCTGCAAATAAGTTCTTCATCTCCTTTGCTTTCTTGTTTCTGGTTCTTATATGAAAAGAAAAGATTTGAATTACATTATAACAATCAACCAGAGATTAAGTTATACAGCATACTTCTACTTCTCATGTTCTGCTAACAGTAAAGCAGATGCAAGTGGGGGATATGCAAAAGTTATTGAACAGCCACTTGTCTCTCAGCCTTTCTTTTTTTTCTTCCCTCCTTCATCCTCCTGTCAATCTGTTGGTTATTTCCATTTTGAAGAACAACTGAAGGATAAATTAAGGTTTATTCTTGAGCGAGTACATAATTTAAAAAAGCAAAGCCAAAACCTGACCATTCTGAGATCACTGGAAGGGAACTAAAGGCAACTGTTGATTTCATAAAGAACACAAAATCCCACACCCACTAAACAAGAAAGCCAAGGCAGACACAGTGCCTGCTATCCCATCATAGGCCCAGCCAAGGCAATGCTGTTTGAGCTAGAGGGAGCCACCGAATGTGGTCTACCAGTGGAGACACTGGCATTCTGCACAAGAACTTTATCTCTGGTATTATTTCCCTTTTTTTTCCTTCTCCTTTAGACAAACACTTATTTATTAACTAAACTCTCCTGTCCATGCAACACTGGTTTTTGTATACAGAACAGGCATGTTCTGCCCTGCTGTCACAAAATCAGCATTTCAGCTTCACTGGTCAAGTGTGCAAAGTGGTGCTCCCCTTTGGCTAACTAGAGTTAACATCGTTCTACGTGAAAAACAAGGGCTACAAACTGCTGCAGAACATAAAATGTGTTATCAGTGGTGCACACTATTTTGACACAGGCAGGTTGCAAGTTTTATCTGGTTGAAAGCATTAATCTTCTAATTCTACTCACATGAGTAGATCAGCGCAGGAAAGATGGGCTCATTTCTCTCCTGCGCAGTTTCTACCAGCATTCTTAGTGGCCCCTTGGGACAGAGAACAGCCATCAGATCTGCAAAGAAAAAAGGGCCAGACAATCATATCTCAAACTACTCCTCATATTTAGTCTCTGTCTTTAAAAAAAAGAAAAAAAAAGAAAAAGAAAAAGAAAAAAGAAAAAAAAAAGGAAAAAAAATTACTCCCTCTTCAAAGTGACATCTATCAGTATCAGCAGGATGATTTCTTGAATGGCAGTTTTAGCTGCTTTGCATAACCAGCTGTTAATCCCTGAAGAGGTTGTTCACTTAAATGTCATCTCCAAGGCTTAATGCAAGAATTTTCACTGCGCTAGTCCTATAAAAGCCTCAAAAGCACCACATTATTTCTTTGAAAGCAGGTAACAGCATTATACAGAGTATAAGATTTAATCAGACAAGAGGTGGGAGCACTTTGTTCCTATTCCACAATGCTGCTGCGTACTCCGACTCCTCTTCCCACCAAGTCTGGTTTGTCATTCCCCTCGGCCTTCTCTCTCCCTGTCAGAGCTCCTGGCCAATCTGAACCGTCACCTCCCAGACACCTCTTGTTCTGCAGGTTCTCTTGAAACTTTTAACTCGGACCAAAGTCCACAATCTCCTGATAGGCAGTAATTGAATCCTGCAGGACTCCCAGGTTACTACTGCTAATATCCAACTGCTCTCACATGCAGTTAGATGTGGGTCAGTAGCTCCTGGACTCAGTCATCCACTTTAAGGAAGAAAAGACATGGTATGAGGAAGAAAGCATGCAGCACATGGACAAGTTCCCAAAAGACAAGCCAGCAAGTCAACTTTTTTGCCATCTGTCCTCTTTCCAAAGCTGGTAGCCCCATGAAGTCATTTGGGTTGATGTGGCATAGCCACAAGCTTACCTCAGAGAAACCTGCCTGTACGCATCCCAGCCCAGACTTACCGTAGATAGAGATGGCACCTAGAATGACCCACGCTGACCACTCAGGCAGGTATTTAATGAAAACCAGTGCCATTAGAGCACTGATCATAATGAGATATGCTTGCTGGAGCTGCAAAGGACCTTTCCAGTGGATGCAAATCATTCCAACAGCCCCAAAATTCCAGATGATTAAAATGAGAGTGGGATAATCCATAGCCACATTATAGGTCTTCAGTACTTCCCTGGAATGGAACACAATAGGGAAATTCAGCTGAGCAATAAAAGCAACAGAGCAGCAAAACGTCTGACTAGCTCTCCTTAAACAGGCAAATCTACTACACCAGGAGGATGTGGGAAGAATCATTTTGGTCATGATTCTTATCATGACATCCCAACAGCGTGTTTTGGAAACCTCCAGCTAGCCAAGCAGCTGCAGCAGTTTCACATGACACCCCCCTTCTAGACATCACTTAGGACCAACACCAGTGGCTCTGGAAACTCACTATAGGTTGAATTCAGGGACAAGGTTCTGGGAGTTCACTTCATGCTCAATGTATCACCTCCCAGTGATTTCTGAAGGCACTGTAAAAGTCAGGCACCAACAGTTAATGGCCTCATATTCTATATAAAAGTTCTAATAATTTTTAAACCTCTGGAGAAGGACAGTGGCATTCTGTTCTTTGTTTAAATTAGGGGCATTCTCTTCTTTACTTAAATTAGGAGGTTGTTGTACAAAGAAGCAAGGAAGTTCTAACTGCCATGAAACCTGCAATACATCCACACTCACCCGAGATATATATAGGTGAAAAGGAAGAGCAGCATCAAAGAGGACAGGATCAGCCAGCCATGGATGAACTGCCAAGGGCAAGAAGAAACAGTGACCAAAGGGGCTGCTGGTTCATTCTCCCATCACGCCATTTTATAGCTTAGCTGGTGGTATTTTTTTTTTAATCTCTTCCCTATCCACATCCATGGGTATCTTCACTGGCTCGCAGTTCAGACAGATTAGCACAGCCTCTCTGCGTGGCAGGGAAGTGGTCTGCCCAAGGCTGCACAGAAAAGCCACCTCAGGGTCAGGTTTAGAAGTCAGCAGGGCCTGGCACTCACACGCTAAGCTGGTACCTCACACAGCTCCCCGGGCAGGCTGCCACAGGGCCAAATACGCTTTTTTCTCCAGGCCTCCACCAGAGCCTCCATGGGCACAGCTAGCACCAGCTCCCACAAAACCTTTCTGAAACTTAGGAGGAGGTTTTTGCACTACATGGTACAGCTCAGTCTCTAACTCTTCAGTCAGATGGAGAAGACTCAAACCTTACCAGCACAGAGCAACCAGCCTCATTTTTAAGAGCCAACCATTAGTTACAACATAAGAGCAAAGTACATCCTGGAGCGCAGCTCTACTACCGCTCACAAAGACTTCCTTACAATGAGATTCTTGCTATGACTGAGCCATAGACCTGCTACTGCAACGCCTGCAGCTCTGCCTGGTGCACAAGCTCCGCTAAGGAGTTCATAGCACGTGGAAAAGGCCACATGCTGGCTGGGACACGAGTGCTTTACCTTGTAGCAGCGATACTTATAGAGCAGCACCAGGAACACGGTCATGACGACAATGACGCTGATCATTACGATCGTGTTCAACACCGAGTTCAGGAGCCGCTGGCCCACAGACGGGGTGTCCTCGCTGAAAGGTGTGTAGATCCTGCAGCGTAAAGCAAAGGCCGCGTGAGGTACACATCTATCCTCTCCCCACAGGCCAGCCCAAAATAAAATGAGTCACTGTGTGTAGGAAAGAAAGGGTGGTGTGACTGTGAAAGACAGTAAACATGATAAAGAGCCTTCAAAGGGGCCTGGCTCCAGTTAATTATCAATTAGTTGTCTTCAGCCATAGCAGCTTGCACTACAGAGCAGCTGTGGCTGGCCAAGCCCTAAACAAAATATATAAATAAAAATAGGCTATAAATGGCTTTAACTTGTAACTCTTATTGCACATCTCTGGACCCTCTTCACAGTAACACCAAGGACACAACACAGGTGTTGCCCTCCTCCTCTTCCCTACTTGATAAGGGTCTAAATATTTTTATCCCTTCTCACTCACCCCACAAGTTTTCTTTCCTATGGTTCAGCTCAAGGAACCACTGCCCCTATTCATCCACCCTCATGGTGAAGTGCCCCCCTTCCAGCCCCAGGAATGCTCTCGGGCACAGTCACAAGAGCCAGATGGAATTAGGTATCCACACCATGAGTGTTCAGGACACAGAAATGTCATCAGGAAATGAGACACTTTTCTCACTCATCCAAATGAGCATGCTATTCCCTGGCCACTGCCCACCAGCAGGTGAACAGGTTGGGAATTCAGCCTATGCTTTTCATGCAGCAGCACGGAGCAACTTTACTCTAACTCTGCTCAGAGCAGCTCTGCGTAAGGCACCCAAATGACAGTGCTAACGAATCAGCCTAATACAGGGACAGAAAAACTCACGCAGAGGATCTTGAGGCACTGGATGCACTCGGGCAAGATCTTTTGCCTGCTTGCACAGATACCTGAAGCCATGTAAAGATTCTCCTGCCCTGCCTGGGGAGCACTCTGCGTGCAGACACACACGTGCTGGGCATGTTTGTGTAACGCTAGGTATCCCGGGTACTCGGAGGCTGTTTGAAGACCCCACTTACAGCTGCCCGTTTTTCTCCGTATAGAAGCGCACTGACTTTATGGTTGCGACGACAACAATCATACAAAGGGTGACAGGCACAAAGAGCATGATTACATGCTTTGCTCCATATTTCAAAGTCAGTTCCTCCTCTTCGTTTTCCACAGCGCTCTCTCTCACTGGCGCGCTCGAGCCGGACGTGCTTCCGTTGGCAGCATTGTTGGGGCTACAGCTGCTGCCTGTTCGCCTCTTCTGAAAAGAAAAGTTTGCAAAGGTATGAGATGATCTTCTCTTTTCTATTGACAGCTCCACTCGGTCTTATTCCAAGGGACTGCTGTGGGCTTCTGCAGCATGCCAGCTTCTTATAAGAGAGTATTCAACTGACCAATATGGTTAAGAATTCCATTTCAAACAGGCTGCAATAGGGCAGCTCAATCAAAAGCGTGAGTATCTGAGGGCCTCTCCAGTGCATACGTATAGATGAATCCATGCACAGAAAGGGTGAGGGGGGCAGAACTGGGAAAAAAGAAATCTGAGGTGGCCTAAGACTGCCCAGTTTGGTAAAGCAAGCCCAGCATGGCAGTGGGAGCAGATCCAAGCTGTCTCACTGGAGATAGGACAAGATTCTGTTTAAGGCTTGTTGCATTTGACCAGAGTATACAAAGGGTTTCTGGCAAAACAAGAGGACTGAAAAGGATAATCTGCAACAATCGTATGTGCACTGGGTTCTGGTTAAAAGCCTGCATCTTCATCAAAAAAGGAGTAAGGGGAGGAACATATATGAACATAAAAAGGGAAAAAAAGTCATAGTGAAGAAAATAGGAACAGGCAATATTGTTGCTAGCCGAGACAGCGACATGACAGAAGCAACACAGGCCAAAGCCAGTCCCAGGAGCCTGGCTGCTGGCAGGGACTGAGGGGTGAAAGGACAGCATCTGTCACTGTCCCATATTTTTTCAGGTCCTGGGAAGGATGCAGGCCTACCCTGTGTGCCTGCGCCTCCCCCGCTTCGGAGGCCTGCAGGCCATCCTGGTAGGAGGGCACTGGAGGGCTCTCTGCAGACATCAGGGATGTTCTCTCATTGCAGGGCTCCTCCTCGCTGTCCGAGTTGTTCGTGAACGTGATCATCGTTGCTCTTCTGAGGAGCACTCAGGTGGCACGGCCAAGCACTGTTCAGGCCTGAGGGGACAAGAAAGAGGAAACAGTCAGCACTGCAGTGCAAACACACTTGGAAATCTGAAGAGGAAGTGCCATTTCAGCCAGAAACCCACAGCAGGCTGCATAACTGCATCTCTTTCTAACAGAAGATTTAGTCTGCTGTCACTCAAGGCATGACAACCCATTCAGTTAATGTCACCATCCTCTTTGCAATCTAGTAGGACAGGAAAACACAGACCTGAGCCAACTGGACCCAGTCAGCCTGACAGTTCTCATTTGTCACAGCTTCCACAGTTGCCTTCTCCCCAACCCTCTTTTTTTCCCCCTATGTTGCCTTGTGAGGAAGAACACAACAATCTGGAGGTTAACAGTGGGGCTGGGATTTTTTGGCCTCTTTCCACATACTGCTGTGTCTAAAAACAAACCAAGCAGTGGCACAGTGCAGAACAGCAAGGAGCAGCTCTTCTTTTTAAGTCACTAGAGACAGGAGGTGCCTTGCCTTGGCTAATTCAGAATAGCCTTAAGGCCAGGATTACAGGAAACTGTAAAGATAGGCAATACGTTAATTCATTTTAGCGTTTATTAAGGCCACTTAACAAAGCAAGTGAGTCAGTAAAAATAATTCAGGCACCTTCTTATTCTCAGCTACCAACCACAAGCAAAATCAGACTTTTAATGCATGGAAAGCTGTAATATCTACCAGATCATCTCCTCTTCTCTGCAGTATTCTACTCAAGGATTCCTGAGGGGAAAAAATAGTGCATCTCAGGAACATGTCTGACTCAGAAAAGGAAGCTGAAGAAGCCATGGACTTGGACACCATCACTTAAATCTGACTTGTGCTTTCACAGCCCAGCCAGTAGTCCATGCTGCCTGCCAGCCAGCTTGAGCGTTCACAGCAGATACTTCCAAGCTCTGCAAGAAATTCCTGCTTCTCACTGACAAAAATGGAACTCACTGCCATTTCAGAACAAGCAAAAGCAGGGAGTGGGAGATTTCCCTTTCTTCCACAACCTCCTGAACACATCTGGCACCTTCATAAAATTTTAGGAAGCAAACCCAGCCTGCCCAAAGGAGACATTTTTCAGACACCTGCTCTTCTGTCTTGTTTTCAAGCCTTTTCTTACCACTTTGCTCCTTTTCCCATGACTCCAAACAATACAGTTAAGGGGGGCAGATGCAGTGGCAGCCTCAAGTCGGGGCCAGGCGCTCCACAATAACATTGTGCTCTCAGCAAGTGAACCTGCCGACACCTGCAAGTTTGTGCTTCTTCTCAGAGAGCCTGAAATCTCCACACTCTGGATGCTTAACATTCTTCTGACTGAGCACGCAGGGACTCATAATTCACAGCCGAGAGCAGACATTCTGGTTCAATTACAAGATGCATTCCTTCTTTAAAGGAGTGGGTGCATGTTTAATTTGAAGTAATTTCTGCATGACATAACTCTGGATCAGTGGAGTCTGAACAGGTTAAGTTACACAGGCCACCTGATTGCAAGTACCTAGATCTGGGACCCATGGAGTTTAAATACCTGCTGCACGTGCTGGAGCCCAGGTAAGATGTCAGGATTTATTCTCCGATAGTCTGGGATCAAAATTTAGGTTTTAACAATTTAACTAAAGTATTAAAGAACTTCCCTCCTCCTCCAAATCGAACTGTCAGGCAATTTCAGCTGTACTGCAGAGGACCTCAGGAGGGACCAGTTAGCCTACTTTCAACACCGTAGTTGTACCCACTGGAGTTAAACCGACAGCAAGAACAACTTACTAATTATCAACGCCTATAATTATACAGAGAGAAATCTCATGTTGTAAAACAGCCATTTTTAAGCTGGACATTTTCTGTTACTCTCCTTCAAAAAAAATGTGAACAAAGGCAAGGATGCAAAAACACTCCTAAGCAACAGACGATGCGCTTTTTTAGGCCAAACTTGGGAAGAGGAAGGAAGTTTCAGGAAAGGCAGGAAGGGCTGGGACACAACCGCTTCCTTTGGGGCTCGCGGGGCAGGCAGGGGGATGCACACGTACCTGCATTCACGGGTGACTGCGAAGCATGGTCTGCCCAACGCACTAAGTGGGGAAAAGGAACAGCACGTCCACACGGTCCTCAGAAGGGTCACAGAAGTCACAGGAGATCAAGCACAGTTTTCCTCTCCTCCTCTGCAAATGGATTCAGACTGTTAGGAACTGTTCAAAACCGCAAAGTATTTTGAGTGCCAAAGACTAAACTCAAAACCATACAGCAAAAATGAAAAGGCCCAAAAGGCAGGACAGATTAAATGTCTCTCATAACCGAATAGTGCAGGTGGGGATACGATGCAGCAGCTCTATGGAGCTGAAGTACCCGCTTCTCTCATCCCACACGTCTTCCATGCGAGGGAGCTCCTTCTTCACCTGGGCTGAATCCACTTCATGGACCTCACCGAGGCCAGGCCAATTCACCTAACACTAGGATCTGGTCCCAGTTTCCCTTCAGTATTAGGCTACAGCATCCTCATTGCCCTCCATCCTTTGCATTGCACTTCATCCATACAATACCAGGATAATGTACGGTGCAGAACAGCTCTATAGGTTAGCAAATGCTTAATAACCCATCTGAGAGTTTAAACTTCTGCTTATATATATTGTCCTCTTGGATAGCATTTAGATGAAGAGAAACGGTTTTCATTTGCTACATTTAGATCAAGAGAGCTCAACACTGAGAGCCTAATGCTCTCTTGCTGCCCTTAGCAAATGAGAAAAGGAAGAAAAAGAAGTTTCAGAAGTTCTAAGTAGTGGGGCTAAAATTAGAAGGAAACAAAGGGCAGTTTAACCTTTCAGATTCCTCCCCACACAGGCCAAATGTGCAAACGCCACCCAAGTCCAGCCCAGGAAGGCAAAAATAATCCAAGAGGAGGCCCTGGAAGGAAGCCACAGGGCCACTCGCACACCCCTACGCACCAGGGCAGCAGGTCAGCTCACCGTGGCTCCGTATGCAGGGCCACAGCCTGCAACGGGCGGCAAGAAACAGGGTGCTTCACGGCAGGCACAACGCGGCTGTCTGAGGCTTCACAGGAGAGTGCTGGGAAAATAAAAATTAAATAAAAATAAAATAACATATACACCCACATAATAAAAAAACTATTAATCTATACACGAATAATACACACAACGATGTATGTGCGTGTAAGAATTAACCTGTGACATGCACTGTATAGGCACCTCCGCACACAGACACACATACATAAGCGGACATTTACTTGCTGACGCACGTATAGACATAGATATATAGATAAAACTACGTCTATTTGCCGCCACCAGAAGGAGCCAGCAAGGCTTCTGTCCTCCCGTTCGCCCTGTGCCGAGCTGCGAGGGGCAGAGAGGCCGCGCAAACGCCTCCGGCCCGGCCTCACCTGGCCCGACGCGGCGCGGCGCGGCACGACGCGGCGCGGCACAACACGGCACGGACCCCAAGACGCTGCTCCCATTGGCTCCGGCGCGTTCTACCCCCTCCGCAGCGCGGCTCTGATTCGCCGTAGCGGACGTCGCTCCTCCCAAGAGTCTCCGCCCGCTCCGCGCGATTACCCAATAGAAGAGAAGGGTGACAGGAGGGCTGGCCAATAGGAAGGCGTCTGAGGGAGGCCTCGCTCTGTGCTCTCCGCTCCGGCGGGTGGTGCCTGTGAGGCGCCGCTATGTTGGCGGCCGTGCCCGGCTGCGCCGTTGTAGGGGGGCTCGGCGGTGTCCGCCGCCCCCTCCGGCCGCAGGGATAAAACACCTGAGTTTGCAGAGTTCCTCTGCTGAGCCGAGCCCTTCCTGTCTTGCCACTGCTTGTCAAATGTGTATAATGCCAGGGCAAGGCGCAGTTCAAAACTAAGGTGTTTGCAGGCCAAGCTGCTGCCTGTGTAGTTTTGGGGGGTTAAAATGTGGTTTAATTCAGTGTTTCCATATGATCACATGGGTGCAAAGGCGCATGAGCCCTTCTTTCCCAACGATTAATTCTCTACAGCTTCCAGTCAGCAAGTCCCTTTGTTTTATGTTTTTCTAGCTGCATCACATGAGAAATATCTGACTGAGAGCACATTAAAGAGCTCTTTATCAACCCCACACGCCCTATTCATAGGGGCACCAGAAATATTTCACTGTTTCTTTTTCTCCCTTAAGCAGATCAGCAAAGCCCTCCCCTTGAAGGAGAAAACATAAAGTGTGGCCGTACCTAAAAAGATGATCCTAAAAAAACTTGTGCCTCTGTTTCTCTGTCCAGGAGGTCACAGTCTGCCCCCAGCAGCAATCAGCACTGGCCTGGTTGCTCTTCAGCCCTGCGTAGGGATGGTCTGTGGGGCTGCCCTCGTTTGCTTCATTTAGCGCTTGGAATTTTATAGCAGGAGATTTCAGGGAGCTTTTTGTCCAAGGCTGTTACAATCCTCCAAATATATCCAAGAAACTGTGGCTGTTTAATTTCAGGAGATATAAATAATACCCGGAAATGGGACTATTGACACAAATTCAAACACTGAGGTGCTCCCTTGGCTTTCAAATGGAAACAGACAAACCACCATCCTTCAAAATAGCATTAAAAGCTTCTTATGGTGACACTGATTATATGAGTAGGGTCCAAAGTCCAAGTCCAAAATATCTGAGGTTTTATGCTGGAGTACAGGCAGTGCTTCCTAAGGGTTTTGCTGAGTTTATTCCACTGCAAATCTACAGTCCCTCAGGGAAAGGTCATTACTGAATCCCAAAGTGAGCATCTTTCTCCTAACTGAAGGAAATCTGCTCGGTCATAAGGTTTTTCAGCATGCAGACGGCACTCATGACTGAGTGCCAGCCATGAACAGGCATCACATATTGGTGTCACACTCGTGTGTTGTGTTGATTTTAAAAGAGTAATCACATGTGTTAGCTGCATCATGAAGCCTCAGATCCAACTGAACAGGCCTTACGGAGGAATATGATGTATCCTCCTTCCTAAAGCAGTTAGATACAAAATAGAGATTCAGGCTCCTCCAGCCTGCAGACCATTGGTCTCACT